ATATCTACCTCTCCCACACACAGTACCGATGGTAAAAACACAGTCTGGATCAGCTCGACCCCCTCCGGATCCCCCACCATCCCCGCCAAACGTCCTGGCCAAGCCCGACTCTCCCCCTAGTGGGTTATCCCCCAAACCCACAACCCTAATTCCAATCCTACCCCCCTCCCCCCTCCCAGAACCCCTTAAAAGTTTAAACAAGGACAATTTTAAAAAACCCCGCAGCCCCCTCTTTGCGGCATGCCACCTCTCGGGACTCCAGAGCCCGTCATCGAGGTAGGCCCTCGATAGAATGGAGGGCCAAGCCTGCAAGAGGGGGGAGTCTCGCAGACCAAGAAGCTCCGCTGCTGAGTACATTAATCATAATGGGTGACACGACCATATCCTGAGGGTGTATATAAATGGACCGAGGAGAAGACAAAGGAATGGGGGATCTCAAAGACATATTTGCAGGACCAAGTCCCCTGTCCCCTCACAACAGAGGACATAGTCCAAAGCCAGGACGACCACAGTTCCAAGGGGGAAATAGATCCAACCACCCTCTCACGGTGGTTAGGTCAGCTGGACAGCCCCCTCTTGTGGTGGGGTGGCAGCAATGAACCGATGCATATAGACAGCGTCCGGGGGTCAGGTCCAAAAATCGCCCTCTCACGGCGTTTTGTCCGGTGGTAAAGACCGATGGTAAAATCCTTATAACCCAAAGGGGAGCACCTTGAATTGGTAGCACCTGAGGGGGGTGTTAAATGCCATTTTTCACTCATCCCCTTCCTTAATTCTAACACAGTAGTAAGCCTCCCTTAACTCCAGCTTTGAAAAAAAATTCCCTTTAGTGATGTGTGCTAGCATATATTTCATAAGGGGGAGGGGGTACATGTTCTCCACACTGATCGTATTCAGATTTCTAAAATCAACACAAAGGCATTTTGAGCCATCTCTTCTTTTCTCTAAATAACACTGGAGCTGCGATTTTTGGTCGGGCTGGCTCAATGAAACCCTTGCTAGGTTTTTCTCAATAAAAGCTCTCAGTTTCCTTGGGTTTCAAGTTTCCTTGGGGACATGCTGTACATCTTGGGTTTAGGGAGTTTAGTGCCGGGTAAGATTTCTATCACACAGACAGTGGCGTGGTGGTGGTGGGGAGCTTATCCGAGGCTTTTTCGCTAAAAACTTCAGCCAAATCCTTGTATTCAATGGCTATGCTCTCAGTTGATGTGTTGTGACCAGGCATGGCTGTTTCTCGGGGCTCTGCCCCCTCAGTTCCTTTATGTGGATCCTCAGCAAAAGTCATGTGCATCTGAAATTTTATGATGCCTTGTTTCCAATTAATTTTGGGGTTCCATTTTTCAGCCATGCAAGGGCCAAAACTAACGGCCATTCCATGCCAGGTGCCACTATAAATGTAAGTATTTCCTCGTAGCTTCCAATGTCTATATGTAGAGGCTCGGTGGCAAAAGAAGCTGGCTCCCACCCCCTGCTATTGACCATCTAGTTGGCAGAAAGCAATGGGGTTTTTCAGCTTTCTTATGTTAATCCCCAACTTCCCTACTAGGGTTGGGCTGATCAAACAGCGGGTGCACCCTGAGTTCACTAGAGCAGAGATATTTATCTCCCTGTCCCAGTTTGGGATAAATAGTCTTAAGGGGAGGGTAAGCAGTTTAATTGGTTTGCTTACCAGTGGTTCATCTTCTGGATCACTTCCAAATGAGTGTTGATTCCTCCTGCTGAGATGTCAGGGTTTCCTCCCCAAAGAGGGGGTGGGATGGAAATTCTACGATCTCCCTGCTCCTCAGGGCAGTCACCTTCCTGTGCTGGCCAGGTTTTGCAAGTTTCCCCCACGGAGGGTGATTCTGGGTGGGTGTTTGCGAACGACACTCTGCAGCTTGGTGCCCCTCTTTTCCACACTTGAAACAGGCTGAGGATTTCAAAGAAAATGTTTGAGGGGCTCTTGCTTCCATTGGGGTGGGGATTTCTTCCATACTCATCCCACTCGGTACTGGTTTCTGGCCATATCGATCTCAGCTTCTTCCGCGGTGATGTACCATTCATGTAGGTGATTCGGTGCACCTCGGGTCACGCAGGCATTTTATAGATCATCACTCAGCCCATCCTTGAAACAGCTCACCAAAATATCCTCCGACCAAGATATCCTGGATGTCAGGTTTTGAGGTCGTCTCAAATAAATTGCATTTCAAACAAAGTCTTTGATTAAAAACTCCCATTTATTGAGCTCGACATTCTAGATCCTGGCTTATCGTAGACAACACTAACTTCCAGACCCAAAACCCTCCCTTTCCGTTCCCCACTCCCCTGCACTCATTGGCCATCTTCCAAGTCATTCTACCCCTAATCTACCGTTCCAGCTCAAAGGAATTTCCCCCCTCCCATCTCATCTCCTAGGGGATATTATCTCCAGGGAAAATAAGTAGGTGAAAAGTCAAACGTCCCTTTCCTGACACTTCCGCTTCTCCTTCTTATGTCAGCACTAGAGTAAATGAAGCTTGAAGTGCTGACATCGGAATTCTTCAGTATACTCTGCTATGGCCGTCGCCCCTGCTTCACCACCTTAATGCGGTTGCATGCTTTGCGATCTGCAAGGGGGGTCCTCAAACCATCTTTGCAGGGCCATCATGAAACGGTCGAAATCCCGCAGTTCTGGTGCATTGGTGTTATGCAGGGTCACCATCCATCTGGCAGTGGCACCCTCTAGGGCTAGGGTCACAACTCACACTAGGGATCCTTGGGTTAGGAAATCATGCCTGTACTCTTGCATGTAGGTGAGCATGTGTGCCACAAAGAATTCTAATTGTTGTGGATCCCCATCAAACTTCACCCCAAGGGAGGGAGTTTCTCTTATCCTTAAAGTGAAACAGCCCACATGGCTGCCATAAATGTTCCTCAATGTTAAGGAGATCTCAGGGTGCTTTGGTGCCAGGATTTAGGTTATAAAATATCTGTTGACACAGGCAATGCTAGTAAATCTAATCCAAGTCTCCCCCTTCTCCCAATTGAATGGCAGTATCACTTTTAGTGATCTGACAGTATTACTGCTACCTTTTCAGCCATGGGTTGTGACTACCTTACTCTTATTTAAACAGGTGCAGATTTTGCTTTTTAATATCTACATTCCTCCACTCAATAAGAATAATTTGATCAATAAGATTTGGAACGGTATAGAAGATTTCATCCTGGGCTGCTTAGACAAATACCTTACAGCAGCAATAATTATTGAGGGGGACTTAAACGCTAGGATGGGCCCAAACTATCAAGCATTATTTAATAAATTTAAGATCCATTATGATGAGAATGTACCAGGAGAAACCCTGCATTCCAGACAATTTAAAGACACTACGGCAAATCAGGCAGGTCTGTGTGTAAGACAGATGACTGTACTTTTGGACCTTTGTATCCTTAACGGTTCCTGTTGTGACCCGCCAGCAGCCTGCGTGGATTGTTGCTGATCCAGACGAGGAGGAGGCTGGTGTCGTGTCATGCCAGCAGCTTGTGCAGCCAGCGCTTGAGTCAGACAGCAAGGAGGCTGAAGAAGATGTGGTGCCAGAGGCAGAGATTCAGCCAGGGCCTTCAGAACCTCCAGAGGCTCCTTCAAGTGAAGAGGATGAAGTGGAGGAGCCTCTTCTCAATGCACGAGCATGCAGAGCTGCCAAAAGGTAGGAGTGGTTACTCAGGAGGAGGTCTCCTCAAGAGTAAGGCTTGGGGCTAATTGGCCACTCCCTTAGCCTATTTAAGTTTGCACACAGCTTGTAAACATTGCAGGAAACAATGCATGTTCGCTCGCTGGTCATTGAATGTGGATTGTCTTTGCAAACCTTGTTTCTGGGCTTTCTGCCAACTCACGTAAGACTTTATCTTATTTATGGACTTTCCTGCAGATTGTTAAGGACGTTTTAATTAACAGCCTGCATTTGTAGAAAACTATGTTTGGAAGTAAATTGAGCTTTGTTCATAGTTTGTGTGTGCTACATTCCTTGGGATCCGTAGCTGAGGCAGAAAGGTTCCACATGGGGTGACTACCCAGCAGACTATACATATCGGGGAGCAGGAAGAAAATCCACAGTTGATTACTGGATAATATCACACGACCTCCTGAAGTTCTTGCAGAAGATGGAGGTAGACTCGTGACTGGAAAGCAATCACGATCCACTAATCCTTACTCTTACATTACACCAGAAATTGCTAAGGGCTGGCTCAACCTACCTACCCAGGTTAGAGAACCAAAATACCCAGGTAAAAATTAAATGGACCGAGAAAAATGCAAAGGAAGTTACTAAATGGATGCTAGTTCCAGAAACCATAGAACTACGCACATCTCTACTAAGAAATAAGTTTGAAGGACCATACTTAGAGGAATTTGAAACTTTAATTTCAAATTTGAAATCGGTTCTCACTAACAGAATACTAGCTCACTCCAAAAAGCCAGTTTTAAAGAACAAAAAATGGTTTGATAGAGATTGCAACTAAAAAGGATACGTATATAATAAGGAGTACAGAAAAAGTAAACATGACCTATTGGAGGATCACTTAAAGCAGTTGAAGGCAAAATATAAGACCCTCCTAAAAGAAAAGAAAAGTGCAGTCTTGGTAGAGATTAATAGCATCAGTCAGGACAAAAAATACATCCCTTTTTTAGTACATCACCAGAGGATTGGGGAAATCCCCCCTACCCCCAACTAATCAGGTACCGATTCAGGTCTGGGAAGAATATTTTAGAGAGCTATATACAAACCAAATTAGTTTGGACCAAACTGCTTACTGGCCCCCTGTTATGCCAGAAGAAATATCCCAGTTGATCGGAGCCCTCAAGGTTAATAAGGCACCTAGTCCTGATAATGTCCTCCCAGAAATAATCAAAAAGAACATCAGTTGGTGGGCTCCACTTTTAGCTTCTTTGTTTACATTTATAAATAAAACAGGCCTTATGCCAGGAGATTGGGGATTAGCAATTATTATACCAATCTATAAAACGGTAATAGAAATGACCCAGGCAATTATAGACCCATTAGTCTTCTGAGTGTTATTAGTAAATTGTATGCCAAACATCTAAACTATAAACTCCGGGACTGGATAATTTCAGGTGGGATAATCAAAGCCGGTTTTAGAGAAGGAAGATCTATGGTGGATCATATCCTGATACTTCACCATCTGGTTCAAAAATATACATACAAAAAAAAAATCCTCTCTTTTTGTGGCCTTCCTTGATTTTAAGCAGGCTTTCGATTCAATATCCAGGAACACCCTATGGAAGAAATTAAAATACACTATGATTGATAACACCTCCTTTTCCTCATACAAAAATTGTATGCTAATTCCACCTTGAAAGTGAGGAGTAATTCTCAATGGACTTTAACTGGCACAGTAAGGGTTCAAAAAGTGGTACGGCAGGGTTGCACCCTTTTTAACTTCTATATTATCAGAAGTTTTTAACTTCTATATTATAACTTCTATACCTGATCGATCTCTTACAGAACCCTGATCTACATCCTCCTAACCTAGCACAATGCAAAATTCCGATTCTCCTATATGCCGATGCTGCTGCTATTATTTCACAAACTCCCATGAGACTGAACAGAGCAATTAGGGCAACACTCCCACTCGCAAGGGGCATGGAAGGCACACTTGGAGCATACACTGCAAGCAGCCAACAGGTCCTCAAATGCAATTAAACATTTCTTTTACACAGGCAGAGGTCAATTAGTACCTGCTGCTTTAAAACTTTTTGAGGCCAAAACATTGGCTCAAATTCTGGAAGATGATGATCATTTATTAGCTAAAATGCATTTCTTTCCAGAGGGACTGTCCCCACTAGTGTTGACTGACAACTTCCCCTCCCCCTGGAAACAGGCGATAGACCACAAGCTGGGCTCTTATGGGCTCTCACCGGTATTCTTAATGTCCCTAGGCTTTGACAAAGCAAAGCAAGTAGTAATTGATAGAATGAAGGACATGGAGTTCCAAGAAGAATTAAATAGGTTGTCCCTCCACAGTAGGGACAGAATCAAACAGGGTGTGTGGGAATCAACAAGGTATCTAAATGATCTGATCTTCCCAAAACAAAGAATAGCTTTCTTCAGAGCCAGATTTAATATTCTCCCCTCAGCACTTCTCCAGGGTAGGTATAAGAGAACACCAATAGCAGAACGGGTATGAATATGTGGTAAAAGAGAAGCTGAAGATATCTCACATGTTTTATTGTACTGTGAGTTATATAGAGTTTATAGGTCAGTATATATTCCCCTTATTAGAGAGATTGCCAGGGAGGGCAGACAACTTTTATGTAGGCTTTCTCTTCTAGGACTCAAACCCAGCTACCACGCACACAGTGGCAAAATTCTGTGTTGCTGCAATGTCCACAAAAAAAAAATTGGTTACAGAATTATAGCTGTCAGCTTGTGCCAATTTTTTGGTGATATCTATAACAATTTCTGGAAATATATATATTTACTCACAAATTTATCGGCTCTCCACCAGGGGTGAAATGCTCCCAGTTCGGATCGGCTTGGGCGAGTAGGTAGCGATGGCGGCGGGCAGTTCAGAAAACTGGTAGCAAAAATCCCTGCCCCCGCCCCCCATTCCCAGCTGAGCCGCATGATCATCAGAGATTTTTTTTCTTTTAAATGCCTCTGACAAGCCAAGCTCTGACGATCCAAGCTCTGACGATCCCAGCTGAGTTGCCTGATTGGCAGAGGATTTTTTAAAAACCCTCTGATGATCAGACAACTCAGCTGGGATCATCAGAGCCTTTTGAAAGTATTTTTTTACATGGTTTTACATGTAAAAAATGGTTTTAAAAGTAAAAAAAAATTGGCCATGCCCACTCAGTCACATTACTCCCCCCACCAAGCCACACCCACAGAACCAGTAGTAACAAATTTTAGATTTCATCACTGCTCTCCACTCACATAAATTAGGGAGTGACCCTAACGGTTTGAGATCATGTCTTTTCTTAACAGAGATGTTATTACCCACTATTAATGTCACTATTATTTTTTAAATATATTGTATGTCTATTGCTGGTCGATGACGGTAATAAAGTTATATTCTTCTTTGTCCCTTTCCAAGGCAGCTAAAAAGGATTACCTATAGAGCTTTCTTTATATAAGCATGCAATTTGAAGTAGAACTTCTTGCACTTTGTATATCCTAAATCCATGTAGCCATGTAATTCTATTACTTATTACCTAGACATGCCAATGACAAATTTAGTCACAATATTCACAGTACGGGGACCAACAAGATTCCAAATACATTATTTCCCAGGCAACTGATTCTTTAGATGACATGACCCATTGTGAATATAATAGCTGAAGTTTTTTTTTTATCTACCAAACATTTCTACAGCATAATGAATAACTGGACCTATCCCACTTGAATCTCTAAACAAACCATTGGGTGTTATGGAATGTCTTATACAGCTCTCATTTTTAATCAATATTGTGTTGGAACCATAGTTCGGTATTTTAAAATGCACAATAAAAAATATGGAGAATCCATGCACATCATAATCACAAAATGAATATTGCTTGTTGCTAGTAGTTTTTGAAATAAGCAACAAAGGTCAGAGGATTTGCATATATATTGTAAGATTGTTTTCCCCCATAGCAATAAAAATAGTAGAAACCTATGCAGCCAGCAAGTTCTTGCTGCCAGGTGAGAGACTTATATAGATCTATTTCTGGCTCGTTAGCCATCATCAGTAAGCCACACCCACATCTCATGTATCCTCCCTGTAAAGGTACAGTATCTATTTTCTTACTTCTTCGTAGGATTTATGTGTGTTTATCCTCTAGCCAGGTTTTTCCTACATAACCAAGGTTTTTCTGCAGCCCTAGCTCAGTAGAATCACATCCACTCGATTCTGGGCTTTTTTCCTTTCTGGCAGCCAGCAAGTTCTTGCTGCCAGGTGAGAGACTTATATAGATCTATTTTTGGCTTGTTATATAGATCTATTTCTGCAGCCCTAGGGTTAGCCCTAGGGTTACCATGGAAACAGAAGCCAACAACCAACTTCCCTTCCTGGATGTCTTAGTCTACAAGAAATCCAATGGCTCCCTAGGACACACCATCTACCAGAAGAAAACACATACAAACCGCTATCTGCACGCACTCTCACACCACCACCCAGCACAGATCAACTCCGTAGCCAAGACACTCATCTCCAGAACAAAACGCTTAGCTGATGAACAACACCTAAAAACTGAACTACACACTCTCACTAATGTACTAACATCCAAGGGATTCCAAAGAAATAAGATTACCAACCTAATCCAAAAAGAAACCCCCACTAAAATCCAAGAGAGAGAACAAGAAAACGGCAAAGCCCTCCTCCCATACATAAAAGGCACCATAGACAGAATCAGCAAGATCCTCCACAAACACAACATCAAGACAGCATTCTGCACAAACCGAAAAATATCCACCATCCTAAGAAACCCCAAAGACAAAATTGAGTTAGAAAATCAAGGAGTATATGAAATCCCATGCACCGCCTGCCCCACCACATACATCGGACAAACCAACAGAAGAATAAGTGCACGCATTGAAGAACACAAGAACTCAGTCAGAAAAGAGAAACCAACTTCTTCCCTGGTCCAACACCTTAAAGCCACAGGACATGAAATTGACTTTAAAAAGACCAGAACTATCGCCAAAACTGAACACTTTAACAACAGAATAATCAGAGAAGATATCGAGATAGAAAAATGTCCACACAGCATGAATAAACGAGATGATACCTCCCGCCTACCAGCCATTTGGAAACCCGCCCTTATTGACAAACGAGTCCCTAACACAAAGAATGACACCAGACCCACCCTCACGAAAACCACATAGGATGTCACCACCACACATCCACGCAAAAAGCAAACTCAAACCCACACCGATGATGAGGCACGACCACAAACCAGAAGCCAGTCCACAGCTGCATCATTAGCCACTTTAAACCCCTCCAATCCATACATGAAGCAAACTGACACCCACCATGAAGATGTGGCACAACCATGAATGCGAAGCCAAACAACAGCAACACAGCTCACCAGCTCAAATTCCCCTGCAACTCAGACTAACCTGAGCACAACCAAGCCCCCACGCAAACAGAACACACCCCCATACAATCAGAGCACAGCCAAGCCCCCAACCAATCAGAACACTCTTCCACCCAATCAGAACACAGCCAAGCTCCCACCCAATCAGTTCACACCCCCACTGGCAGTTAAAAGGAAGAAACAGCTGTGTGTGAGAGAGAGAGAGAGGGGGAGAAAGAGAACAAATTTAAAACTAAATAGGTCCTTTTAAGTAAATAAGTAAGGTAAATAATATTGTTTCCTTCAAAATGGGTAAGAAGGAATACTGTTATAAGGTAGGACGTAAAATGAAATTTGGATATAAGAGTGAAATAATACGGGGTCAGCCTGGAGGATCTCTGGATCCCTGGAGGGCACCTTTGACTTGAGAAAGTTGCAGAGTTCAAAAAGTTAAACCGCAGAGCTAACTCACTTTCTACAGTTGGAGAGTTCAAGAAGTCAAACCACAAGAAATTAACTAATCTTCCTGTTCAGGCAATAATGGGAGGAGGGGGAGAGCCTAACATGTAGGAGATTTATTTCACATTTCCTGTTTTTCGTTACTATAAAGATACGTGTCTTAAAGAAGGTCTTCTGTTCAGAATGTAAATAGAATGCATGTCTGAACCTTTTGGCCAAAATAAAAAAGCTTTTCTCGATCTCGAAACTTAGCTTCTTATTTTTCTGCAGCAGTTATAGGGAACATAATAATGTTCTATTGGCTTTTAAAGTAGAAATAGCACAGACACAGCAGTAGCTAACATATTTGATACATTCAATTTACTGAAATTGCTTCCTACAAAAGTCATCTGTCAGCAAATATGTCTGCAGTGACATACTATATATCTGAAATATATTTTTAGAAAATGGCCCAGATGTATATAAAAGTACTAAAAAATAGAATTATTTGTGCAAAAACATGAAAGGACATGAAAGTGTGTCCTGTTCCTGAACACAAAGAAAATAATCCATTATCATTCTGCATCCCAGCTGATAAAAGTTTTCTAGCATGGCTAAACTGCCCACTATAGTAACTTACCTATTGCATATTCATGTCTCTAGATGTATTAGTCTTTGCACCTTACAAAAGTTTTATCAATTAAGTATGTGTTGTCAGATAGTATAAACCTTGTGAGATAGATTTTATATTATTGCTGGAGGATTATGGAAATGAGTAGGAAGGATAGTGAAAGCATCTTTGGTCATTTTGTTGGGGGAGAAAAAAACGACTCTTACAGAGGATCCATAGGTGTGTTGCCATAGGCCTGGCTTACTATTTTCTCTCTTGATTGTACTCATTTGCATTATAGGTTTCAAATTGATTATGTTTTGTAAATAAAATTACTAGAAAATTTGCTTGATTCTGTAGCAAAGATGTAGCAAAGATTAAGATGTCTCAAATTGAAGGCCCACTCATAATAAGGCTTAAATAAAGAAGCATGAATAGAGAAACTTTGCACAATCAAACCAAAAGTCAAGCCAGTCCAACATTCTGGGTAATCCAATGAAAAACAGATGAATCTATGCTCCAACTCTCCTGGTCTTTCGTAAGACTTTAAAGACCTGGATTGGGCCAGGGCCTGGGCCTGGCTATGTGCAGGGACCCACTTTCATTGTTTTTATTTTATTTTAATTCTGTTTGCCATGCAGCATAATGAGTTGCCATGTTCAACATTTATGTGAAGCCGCTGGGCGAGATCATCCGTGTTTCGGGGTGAGGTTCCATCAGTACACTGATGATACTCAGCTGTACATCTCCACCCCGGACCACCCCAAAGATGCCCTTAACGTGATGTCCCAATGTCTGGAGGCCGTGTGGATCTGGATGGGGAGGAACAAGCTCAGACTCAACCCTTCCAAGACCAAGACCGAGTGGCTGTGGTTCCCAGTATCCCGGTATAGTCAGCTGGTTCCATCGCTGACTATTGGGGGCGAGATTTTGCCCCCCTCAGAGAGGGCACGCAACTTGGGTGTTCTCCTGGATGCACGGCTGTCTTTGGAAGATCATATGAGGGCCGTGGCCAGGGGAGCTTTTTATCAGTTTCGCCTGATGCACCAGTTGTGTCCCTTTCTGGACCGGGATGCCCTGTGCACAGTCACTCAGGCCCTCGTCACGTCACGTCTAGACTACTGTAATGCTCTCTACATGGGGCTCCCCTTGAAGAGCACTCGGAGGCTCCAACTGGTCCAGAATGTGGCTGCGCGGGTGGTTATAGGGGCGACTCAGCACTCCCACGTAACACCCCTCCTGCGCAAGCTGCACTGGCTCCCGGTGGTCTTCTGGGTGCTATTCAAGGTGTTGGTCACCACCTTTAAAGTGCTCCATGGCTTAGGACCGGGGTATTTACGAGACCGCCTTCTGCCACCAATAGCCTCCCACCAGCCAATATGCTCCCACAGAGAGGTGCTCCTCAGGGTACCGTCGGCCAAACAGTGCCGACTGGCGACACCCAGGGGGAGACCCTTCTCTGTGGGGGCACCAACCCTCTGGAATGAGATGCCCCTATAAGTCTGTCTTAGCCCCGACCTGCGTACCTTTCGCCGCGCCTTGAAGACCCTTCTGTTCCAGCAAGCCGGGCTGGCCTAATATGAATTTTATAATGGGTGTATGTGTGTTTTAATTTGTGGGCCAAATTATTTAGATATTCGATTTTAATTGGTTTTAAATTTTGTAAATCTATGTGTTTTAATATGGCTGTACACCGCCCTGAGTCCTCCGGGAGAAGGGCGGTATAGAAATCTAATAAACTCTAAACTCTAATAAAAAAATAAAGATATTCCTTTTGCTGAACACAAAGACTTATTTAACTAACAATATGCCGAAAAAGAAACAGGTACCGGAATACCAAGACAGACCAAACCTTTGCCTCATTTATATCTTGTCCTTTTCCTAGTAGTCAAAATAGGCAAATAAGAACAAATACAATTTTAGTTTATCTGTAGATTATGTAAAGTGCTCTTATTGTATTGCTTTTCTGCATTTCTTGACTGTACACCGCCTTGAGTCCTACGGGAGAAAGGCGGTATAGAAATATAATAAATAAATAAATAAATAAATTTAATTCCAATGGATGGCTTTAAATTCTAAATATTATGTCAACAATTTTCATTTCATACCATACAAAATGTATTAGATTTGTATCTAATGTAATTCTTCTACATGCCACTGGTTAAAAATCACAATAATTGGTGCCACAACAATCACAATAATTGTTCATTGTACAAGAACAAACAGCAAACAAATGATATTAGGATTTGTTACTTACGTATTTGTTCTTAAAAACTGGCTCTATTTCTTTTGAATGGACCAACCATGTTTTATTACAAATTAAAGTGGGGAAGATGGAAAAGGGAGTGCCATGTAGGCCATCATGTGCTTCAAATACATATTTAAATAAATGTTATACAGAAATCTGTCAATATTTAATATGGCTATAAAACCTGCTTGCGTAAAATGCCACTATAATATTATTTACTGAGTATCTCTACTTTTATCATTAGTTACACAGACAGCCATATCTTTAGACTGGTTTTGACATCTTTATCCACCAATCAAATCTCTCTCAAGGACCCGGGACAGGTTTATGTTATGGTTTGATTGTGTTAAATATTGCCACACACTCAGTTATTCTTTATTTTAATTCTTTTTGAATGAGAGGGCTTTATTCTTTCTGAGGAAAATACAGAGGAGAGGGCATCTCTTTTGGGAATGAAAAAGATTCAATATCTATGCTGGCTTCCACTATTGCTGACTCCCCTGGTTTGCCTCTACAGTCTGAATTATTTCTGGCAAGGCTTTGATTTCTTTGCCTTGAGTGGATCTTTGCAA